TCTCAGCTAGTGCCCTTTCTAATGAAATTTGTTCTCGTGTTGTCTCACACATGTTATTAGTACTCCAGTACCCCTGTCTAGCAATTACTTCAGGGCCCTGGAAGGAGTTTTCGTGGAAAAGTTCGCCTTGACGGCTGGCTCGAACTTATTACTTTTGGAAATCTGGAAGAACGAGCTTTGTAATACCGACGCACCGATTCCTCAACAAAAATCCGAGTGATCGATCTGAACCCTTGGTGTGAACAATTAAACGTCGAAGCGAACATGAACGGTGCGGTGCGCAGCTGTCTTTCACCTTAACCTCATTTCAATTCAAAAGACCTTGGAACGTAAAGATCAGTCGGAGCGGCCGCAAACGTCCTGTAACAACGAAATGAGACGCGAACGCGTTCCTCGGGTGAACGAACAAAGATCATTGAACTCTTCGACGATGCCAGTTTTCCGATCAGATTGACGTCAAGGAATGGAGATATAGCTGTCATTTGTAAGTGTAAGAGATCGACCACTGCAAAGGTGAATGGTAAATTGATTCCCACACTCTGACAGACGATAAACGAGCTTTGTTCGACACTCCGCAACCAATTAAAATTAATGGGAGTTTTTGAACTTAGTTATTTGTCTGGCTAACAACGGCCCTACCTCCGTCTACTAGAGAAAACAGAAGTTCGTGCTTCTTTAACTACTTTTCCTGACTACTTTCAAAGAGCTTCAAGTACGTTTTACGCACCACCAGATATCATTTTCAGCCAAACGTTCACGGGAGCCAATCAAGAGGCGTCGCGTATTTGATCTTTACAAACAACCACAGAGGCGGTGATTTCCCTTTGCGAATGTTTACTAAACAAACAAATCAATTGCTGTACAACTATTTTTGAGGGCCACTCGATATAATTAATCCAATGTTACCATATTCCCACTTGTGTCAGTCAACTATCTAAACATTTACTCAAAGGAAGGGATGCTCCCTCCTATTTGACCAGTTTAAAATATCCCAGAGGCGAAACAGCTTTTATTAACCACTCTGCTAAGTTTTTATGAGTGAAGTTAAACGATTAGTACTTCTCCCAACGAGAAAATTGGTTCTGTTGACCATGTCCACGATGATTTCTTGATTTCATAGCTATTGGCTGGGCTTGATGTTGAAGAAAATGAGAAAAAAAGGCAAAAAATCATTTTGCCATTTAAAAAACTTTTTTGATCAAAAATCCAGTTTCAGAGAGATCTCCTTCTTCGCCCGTCCCTCACCTCCATACCTCCCCTGCCCTCGCTTCCCTGTTTCTGCCTATCGAAAGCGATTTCTTATCACATGACATTGACGCAGACGACGGATCTTTTTAGACTTGAGTACTCATGGATTTATTTCAAAAAACTAAAAATAAAAGGTCATGGAGCTACTTTTAAATCCCTAATGCCATGATATCGCTAAGGGGATGATTCGGTTTAAGCCGATCCTCCGCGATTTTCGGTGTTTCGAGTCTGGCTCGAGGCTCAACACTCCAATTCCTCGTGCGCCGTTTCAAAGACCAGCAAAAAAGGACCACCTAAAGATAATGGAAGGCAAAAATAAAACTGGGCAAAACAGAAATGTTGAAAAGAAAATAGCGCACCCTAAGATGGCATTCGTCCCAAAAACTGTCCCTTTTTAGAGAAAACGGCCTGTCAGCTATCATCACCTGAATACCGTTCATGGAGAGTATTTTCGGCTATAGTTTTAGCGATGCCGTGGTCTCATGATTCAACTGAATTCCTCCTCGTCGGAACAGAACGGCCACTAGGGGCTGCATTCCACGCTGTCGTAGAGCTTTGACGAGTCTATTTTCAACTCTCTGCCATGGTCGGTGCCAACTACAGTAAAAGTTCATTCGGCCTAGGAGGACGCTGTTATCGCCCCGACACACCACTGCTTTTGAAATTTGTTCGCATGAAAACCGCATGCTAAGGAGAATATCCTAAGAAGAGTGCTATGTTGTTGTTGTCTATACGAAGAAAGTCCTAAATAATTCGTCTCTCACTACCTGGACGTACTTCCCCGAAATTTAATGGGACTAAAGTTTACGGAGTAGTTGCCCCGAACTCCTGTTTCTCATCGATGGTGTTGACATCGATGACCTCACTGTGACCTTATCGTTGAAACGCCGTAATCAACTAGTACCGTAGTCAACAACATGGAAAAAGTCCTTCACCAAAAGGCTCACCTCTGTTTGTTCGAAGGGCGCCGCGCTTTCTGGCTCCCTCTGGCTATCCCCAATGAAGCATTAACAAAAGTCCATTAGTTCCATGAATATCCAAACCGGAATGGGTCCCCCGAAATGAAGGAGCGGTTTTAAGGGGCCTGTCCCGAGCGATGTTCTCTTCGAAATGGCCTCGTCCTTTCGACAAAAAAAACTCCGTCACAGGCTGAATGGCGCTAGAGTGGTGTCAGAGAGTGTGTGGAAATGATAGACACCCGACCCGCTTTGCTCCCCCTCCAGTCCCTCTAGTCCCACTAGTCCCCCCGTTGGTCGTTCACACAAAGTGCAGCGCGGGAGAAACGTCGATAAGCGGGGGGCAGCAACACTGGGAAATCAATACGGCAACAAACCGATGAAAAATGAGAAGGCAGAAACGCTTTGGCGTGTGTCATATGCAGGAATAGGCCAGTTCCGGCGGTTGGTGGCAGGTATGGAGCTCGTCGAGGAATTAGTTCAAGCTGATCTGTGTCAACATCCCCACAGTGGCCTCTAATCGATTCAGGCACCATTGCGATCTTCTCCGGCATGTTTGTGCAGGCAATAAAAGATGACGTGGGACAGCTGGCTACTATGTAATGGGAATGTTGTAAACTTCTTGCAATTGCACTGAAAACAATACTCTCTGAAATACACGCATTTGTTCCCATTAATGGTCCCCCCGATGGAATTGGTAGTTATGGGGGTTTTTACTAAGTATGACTCATCTCCCTCTATTCTTACGCTTTTGAAAAACATCGAACAGGTGTAACTAGAACCGAGATTTGCAACAAAAAAGTAAAAGGACCATCTCAATTTGAAAATTACGACCTAAAAACTATTGAAACTCACTTTGGAAAGGACTGCGGCTCAATTAGTCACATAAAAGTTTGTAGAAAAATGTGATTAGATCACTTAGCCAAAAAAATTGGGGTTGTTATGGTTGTCAAAAGAAATCTCAACGGCATGTATAACATACTATAGAAACGTCTTCCGAACAATTTTCTTGTTAGGACCAAAAAAAAGTTTCAGGCCCGGAACCATTCGCTGTTCCAGCTATACGAATCATTTCAACATCATTCTTCTGACGGATCTAAAAATAGATGTTCGTTTCGTAACACTCCAGGAACCGGAGTTCAAAGGCATTGATCGAACAGATGCATCACGCAATTGTTCGCAAATCACCCCTGATGCACTACTATCGATTGTTCTCTTAGCTGTGGGCATTTTTTACCAGTACTATTCCCTGGGAGTCGAGTCCCTTTCGATCGTGAACCTGCCCACAGATTATAGCCTGCGCCCCATAAGTGAACGCATGTGCTCTTATCTAATTCTAGACAACTTATCAAAACGTACACACAACCGTAAAGCTTCTCTCCACAGAGGGCAACGTAATCAATAAATTAGTTCTGACCAAACGACTCCAAACATTACCTAATCTCCAGTCCAATCCCAATTTCTGTTCCCCAAAGTGGCAAGATCTTTGGGCGGCCTTTCAGGAGGATTAACCATAGCTATTACTAACACACACACACACACGTAGCCGTCACCTAGCTCTTTGAGGAGCATTTCGTAACATAACAATTATCGGCCAGTCACGTTACCGCATCCTTTAATATGTGCCATCACTCCGATGCAAAACACCGTTTGCCAAAAACAACGCTCATATGAGAGCAATTAGCAGGCGGTAAAGAGAATTTCTGAATAACTTCACACATACGTAAATAGATAGGTGAAGGTTGAAAAGAAAAAAAGGGCTCACTTTCAATCTATAGTATTGGTGTTCTCCACGCAACTCAAATTCATTCAAAAAACCGAAGGTGCTCGGCGTAAAGACTTCATCCTTGCCGTCTGTAAAAAAANAGATATAGCTGTCATTTGTAAGTGTAAGAGATCGACCACTGCAAAGGTGAATGGTAAATTGATTCCCACACTCTGACAGNAAAAAAATGGTACCGGTTAACCCACCAAAAAAGGCTTGAGTCATGTTCGCTTAGGCTACAGTAAATCTACGGACATGGGCGATGACCATGCACCTGGTGTCATTAAAAAATAACTTATATAAATTTATATCTCTGAGCATGTAGGCTTTGCAGCCTGTGAGAATAGACACAATAAAACATTCAAATTCAGGAAAAGGAAATAGCGCTTGACGATGGTACAAATTTGAACACGACGAGAGAGTGAGAGCGAGAGAGAGAGGGAGTAAAACATAGCAATGTGGAAAAAAGGGGAAAAAGAGGAGTCACATAAATACAGACGAGTTAGAAAGCCGCAAATGGGATAAATTGGGATTGCATGAAGGGATGTGTAGTGGACATTACAAGGTCATCGTGAGGCGCGAGTAAGAATGAAGGATGATGAAAAATGTGAACAAAATAAACAGACATACATCCATAATAATATATACCTGTGTTGTCAAATAAAGGGAAACAATGAAATCATCACGCTCACAAAAAAAANAAAAAAAATGGTTGCAAAATTTAAAAAAGAAAACAAATGATAATAATAGACACACGATGGCGTGAAGACGCTACAAACCGGAGAGAACCGTACAAAAACGAGACGCATACAAGTGGCTACAGAAACACTATCTACATACTTTCCTCTTAGGGAACCTCATCACTTGAACCCCCTAAATTAAACGAATCTACACGCTATATTAAATTAAACACAATCACCGAACAGTCACGTGTGGGTGTAGGTGGGTGAATGCCACATGAACACGTTGCGGAGTTCTACTACTCTACACAGAAGCTATCGCAACATTGAAACATGTACAATGTAGTAAACCTATGATGTAAGTGGTCGTGAGGATTCATCAGGTGTTAGAACGACAAACAGAAATGAAGCCTGGCGAGCTGTTATCGACTCATAAAGCTGAGGCGAATAGTACTGTAGGTAACTAGATGGAAATTCGCCCGGAGGAAACACATGTACCAAGCATCCAGCGGTCGTAGCCTAAAAAAGTGCGATCAATCTGATAGTATACGAGCTAAAAATAAACCCACTCACCGTCTGAGGCATCACAGCAATCCCTGCAGCTTGTTTGCTCGTGAAGTAGTCAATAAATGCAGTTCGGAAAATATCCGAATTGGTGATGATTTCATCTCGAGAAAGACCACAAGGCAGGCAGATCATGCATGCGAAACGACCTGCATCCGACATCTTTGCCACCATACCTGTAACTGCAATGTCAGTTTGATCTAATTTGACCCCTCGGTTATACCCGATCGGCTTTCCTCTTGTTTACATCTAGCATCAACAACGCCTACAGTTCCCTAAATCTCGCATGTTGCTGTTCAGGCATTATGCTTACGCACAAGAAACAAGTGAATATTATCTCGTCGCTGTGACAACGCCTGCATGCGCCTCAGCCGATTCGTCAACACAAACACTTCATTTCTGCACACTGCTATCACTAGAGCAACGGATTTCTGCAGAATAACTTTCGTATTACTAAGTAAACGCTTATTTAGACGACAACCAAAGGGGCATGACAGCGGCCGTTAGTGCATCAAAACATGTTCCGAAAGCTATGAAAACAAAATGAAGTAGTACCGTAAGCAACTGCACTACAAGAAGTGCATCCAGCTACGCGCAAATACGTCTGCTGGCCTATTAGGATGACTTTTTGAAGACTTCATAACAAAAATCAAGAGCGCACGTCCCTAGGAGACCATCACTTGGTCACAAGATATGTTACTGTAAACTTCATAACCGTACATGAGAACATTCCCAACACCTACAGTACTCAACAGAGCACTCTGTCGTTGCCGTTCATACAGTACTTTCCCTGGCCAACCACAACAAACTGCCAAGTCTCTATAAACACCAAGTTCACGCAACAGTCTTTTCCCTCCAAATGGAAACAATACATGGACTTACGCATCGAAGTCCCATGGAATGAAGTATGTCTCTGCAAATTTATTGCGAACTTTACTCAATGTTAATGAGGATCGAAGCAACTACGCACGCAACCGCCACATCGATCACAGAGACGGACACTCACACTCGCCAGCAGTCACCCAGCAGCCGGCGCGCTTAATTTCCTTCCGAAACCACACAACACAAATACCAAGGCACTACGAGTATCAAAGAGAAAAAAGTAGGTTGTGACGTAAACACAGTAAAGGGACATTTCGGGTTAGCTAACCTTGAACTTGCGCGTGTTCGAGTCGCATTCGTTGGTTGACACGAATTGGCACGGCGTTCTTCGCATCAGCATTGGCGTCACCAAGACATCGAGTTAGCATTTCAATCGATCCGTACACCAAATGCATTTGCACCGTCGTCTCGGACTGCTTCATTGCCAGCGTACCTTGCCATACCACCGGGAAACGCTGTAAAATGTAAATAAAGATTATGTCAAAATAATCACTGACGGCGGTATTTGGACTGTTCGTTGCCCACAAATTATCTACTCTCTACCACCGCATCCTATTGCTACTCTTTACGCTCTTTGATGCGATAGGCAAAAAATCCTATTAGAATCGTCAAGCGTCATACAGATCTTGGGAGTGAATACGTGGAACCAAACAAAAAAAAANAAAAAAAAACTTGATCTTGATACAATTTTTAACAAAACTGCACCTTGAGTTGTTCCTCACACGACAGTGTAGTATCCAAGTTCTCCGGATCTTCATCGCGATGCGATATGGCCAAGTTACGCAATGTATTTAAAAGTTCCTGAGTGAGAGGGGCGACATCTGGTTCTGAACTTCGCGGGGAACTTCCATCCGGTGACCATGATGTTTCCCAAACAAGCGCACTGTCGGTAGCCATAGTGATATCACGTGAGCAGGGCTCAGTAATGTTGGATCGGCTACCTACTTTCCTGAAGGCTGATCCCAAGGACGCGATACCGCCTTCTCTCTCTGATGGACGACTAGCGATAATCTCGAGTATTTCATTTATGGACAACTTCCTTTCGAAAGGTGAACTAGTACCGCTGCTACTGCTACATCCTGTCTCCTTACTGCTACTGACTGGTGATGAAACAGGTGTTTCATCCTTCCGCTCCGTTTTCAAGTCATCTTCGAAAATGTTGTAGATTTCCTCGTTGAGAATCTTATCCAGACAACGTTCCATATCATCTTTAGATACAGGTACATGGGGGATCATGACACGTTCAGTTTTTCGTTGCTTAACGAGGGCGCTGGTATCCGAATGAACGCGCTTTCTCATTTCCTCGACTTGATTGGAGACTTCACTGGTCGGAAACGATCGTTTACGGTCCACCTGGTGACTAGTTCCATTTTCTGCCGTTCGCTTCAATGACATGTGCAAAGCAGCCAATTGCGGGTTGACACCTGGGATTTGCCCTCGAGCCAATGCCGCGTACTGCTGAAGAAGCATCGCCTGCTGTAGATTAGCCACAGTCATTGCATTCGATTCGGGGGGCTGTGATGCGACCATCGAGAGAAGATCGGAGGTCGAAGTAGAAGCGGATGGCCGATCGGCACCAACAGCTGCGGCATTCATGAGGTTCATGCTCAACATCACCTTCGCTGCATTAGCCAAAAGAGGATTTTGAGCTGCCAGTTGAGCAGCCGCCGGAAAGCCGGTACCCGCGGCCTGTTGATTGATGGCTAACAAGCTGTTCATCGCGATCGCACCAGCCAAATTGAGTATGTTTAGAGCATGGTCACCAACAGGCGGAGCATCACCAGGCAAAGGGTTCGCTGACGGGTTCATGGCTTCAATTTCAGGAGATGAAAGCCCGAACGACGAGAGATGCTGAGGTTCAGTCGCTTTTCGACGCTTTACACCAATCTCTGTCGCTCGAAGCGGTGAACTGTTAGAGCTCATTCAATATCTTTGCCAGTGACGTGCGCGACGGATAGAGGAAAAGATGTCGGCACCACAATAACAATTTGAAGAAAACTAGAACTGCTAGCTTGTTCCGAATACACGTATACTCAAAAATCGCAGGGTCAATAGTTGTAGTCACGTCGAAGTGTAACACAGGGCAACGAACGAATGGTCGATAGTGAATACAAAATGAAGAAAAGAATAGGTTCCTGTCGAAATAAGCTCCTAGAACGAGTTCCTGACCAGGCGCTACCGATCTTGAGAGATCGGAGAGATGAGGTAGATAAGGGAGGTAGATCAAACGAGGTAGTTTGATTGACAGTTGTACGACTCACGATTACATCAGACGATCATCCTTGTCTGGTAAACGTCATTAAGGGTAACGTAGGTAGTGGGAGGTATATCGAACTTGTCGGGTAAAAAGCCGCTGCACACACACTCACACACCACAGCACGGCGTTCCCTCCAGCGGGCAAATAATTCACCGATAGTACGAGAGAGAGCGAGAGGAGGCGATAGAGCGACAAGGCTCTGCGTCCCTGTTCCGCCCCGAATGCGCCACATGAAGAGACCAATGCGAAATTGGAGCGCATTGACACGAGCGTGAAGTGAGCCGACCAGCTGTACAGCGCCCCGACAACAAAGACCACAGGCACACCATGCGCGTTGGAGACGACAGACACGTCGCGCTGCGAATTAGATCTAACAGGGGCGAGCGCACGCTTTGCGGCACTTATTATGCCCTGAAAGCACGTCGAGCAACACACGCAACGTGCTAGCAGACAGCTAGCAGGTCCCAGAGAGGCCTTGACGGCGAAACGCTGCAGTCGCCGAACGCCGTTCGTGCCAGCCCACACGGAGCACGACGGCGTTGCCGACGAAAGTTTCATCCGAGTTTGTCATGAACGTTTATGGTAAACAGCCCATGCCAAAGTCATCTATCCGAACAAAACAATAAAAAGTTGCTAGAAATAGCGGCCCGTAACTTTGAACCAGACTTACTTTCGCGACATCAGCGGAATGCCCCGATGACGTGCCAGATGGAGATGCTACGGCTGCCGCCAAAGACGTTACGACAGCACTTTCAATAGTACGAGGTTGTGGAGGTACGGCTACATTTTTCCGTTCCTGTTGAACCATAGAAACGTTCACTTGCGAAGGTGCTGTCGACGTCGGCGTTTGAGCAACTGCCGGAGATGTCTTAAAGTCAGGAATAGGAAATGGCACATCTGCCAATGAATGTTCACTGATTCAAGTTACCTGAACTGCAGTTTGATGTTGTTGTTGCTGCTGTTGTTGTTGTTGTTGCTGCTGTTGCTGTTGTTGTTGCTGTAGAAGCTGTTGCTGGGATAGGCGGTATTGGGCAGCGTAGAGAGCAGCAGCTTGTTGCTGTTGCTGTTGTGTGACCTGCTGTTGCGCTTGTTGTTGAAGGGCCTCACGTTCGCGTAATGCTCGCAATTGAGTCTCTTTAAGCAATCGCTCTCGTTCGAGTTGCTGCGAAGGCTGCGGGGATGATGCGGCCGTATTGGAAGCATCTTGTTGAGCCTGAAAAGAATAATAGTACATGATATCACTTGCTCTCGTTCTTTAACCGGGAATACAACAACACCACTCACATACCTTGATCTGCTGCTGCCTTTGCAATTCCAAAAGATATTGCTGCGCTTGAGATGTAGGTAGCTGCTGTATAGCTTGTAACTGCGCCAAAAGAGCCGTGGCCATTGGTTGGCCGAAGGTTTGTGACACTAAATAAATAGGAATGCACGTGAGCATAAATAAAAGATAGAGAAAAAAACGTACTTTGTTGATAGTATGCCACAGGATCCCTGGATGCCATCTGAAGCATTTGCATCTGCTGCAGTTGCATTTGCAAAGTAGCTTGCGCAGCCAGAGCGGCATGCTGGTGCTGTGTGACTGGTGTAGGTACCTGAGGTGCAGGAGATGGGGTAGCGGCAGGCGTCTGTGGCTTAACGGCACGTGAAGCATCCTTTTGTTGTTGTTGCTGTTGTTGAAGGAGCTGTTGTTGCAACTGCTGGTGTAGTTCTCGTTCACGTTGTTGTTGTTGTTGCAGTTGCTGTTGTTGGTGTAGTTCTCGCTCCTTTTGCAGAGCTGCCTCCCGCTCTCGTTCACGTTCTCGTTGTTGTTGAAGTTCCAATTGTTGTTGGGCCAATAGCTGTTGTTGTTGTTGTTGCTGTAACACCAAATGCTGCTGCGCGAATTGTTGTTGAAATAGTTGCTGCTGTGATAGCGGGCGATGTTGAACTTGCGTTTGTTGATACAACTGCTGCTGTTGTTGCAATACATTTGCATGTGAGAAGGACGGTTGCTGGAATCGGTTGTACAACTGATGCATTCCTGCTTGCGATACTACCGGCGTTCCCTGTGTTATACCACCAGAAACTGGTGACGCTGCAGGTAGCGCGGATACGTAGTCCGAAGATGGTACAGGGGATGCCTTGACAGGATGCACAACCGAAGGGGGCACAAAGGTTGCTTGCTCCGCGTTCGTTACCGTTTTCGGTGATTGCATAGGCGTAGGAGCCTTACGAGGCTCCGGAATTGCCACACTGATGGGCGCAGTCACGCTTGTGGTTGTTACCGGTTGTGAAGCGGTAGTTGATATGGGCTCTTGCTCTTTTACTGAAACGTTGGTTATTGGGACCTCTACGATGTCATCATCATCGATTACGATGACATTAGATGCAGCATCGACCGATAATCCTTCCTTAGCCGCCTCAGACGTCTCCGAATTCTTCTCCACAGCGGGCTTTTCTTCCAAAATCGGCTCCTCCACAAATGATTCACGTAGTAGCTGCTCCTGAAAACACGGCTATTGGCTTATTCAGAAAACATTAAGTAAATACTTGAAAAATACCCTTACATCAGACACATCTCCTGAAGCAACGCCCGAGATTTCAACCTCGTCATCAACATCAGCGATTGCACTTGTTGCTCGATTCGTTTCTTCATTTGTTACCGCGACGCTGCTGGTAGATACCAGAGCAGCTTCGCCTGCACTCGACAAACCTGCCGACGCAACTACAGCTCCATTCTTACCGGGAACGAAGACAAGTGTTGGATACTGCGGTTCTTCCTCTTCGTCATCGCCATCGAAAATTGACTTAACCGCGTCTTCAGTTTCCTGAAAATTTTTAGATTAACAAAAGAACGCTGCACTAACGATAAGCAAACAAAGTGAAGGAATAGCAACAAAAAAAGCTCAAGACAACTATGTGTGATTCCTGCAAGCAACACCGCACACAAATCACACACTAAACAAGTGCTCTAAAAACGTCAAAGCAGAGCAATCGCACCTGTAGATCTGAAATTCCTCGAGCAGCCTTCTTCGCTTCGTCGTCGATCACCGTCTGCTCACAGGGTGTCGTTGTCGCTTCTGGAACTGCGGGAGCCTCGACGGTTGTTTCTACCACGTCTTGCTGGGTTTCTTGCTCCTGCTGCTGCTGCTCACAAGAAGAATTTTCTGTTGTGTCCCTCACACTGTCACTATTGCTCGTCGGTGGCGGCTCTTGGATGGACGTCTCAGTAAGGAACGTCTTTGCGGCAGAGCACTCATCGGATGATCTGGTTGCTTCATCAACATTCGCCACAGGCGGCTCATAAACGCTCGCATAACCAGCCGCCGCATCAACAAGTTCAACAGCACGATGTCGAGATCGCTGTGAATCGGAGTCGGACTCACTGACTTCATCCGGTTCGGTTGCGGCAGAACTGCTGGTGCTCACTCTCCGTCCTGGCGGTAGGAAACTGGTAACCGTAGTTTCTTGTTGACCAGTAGCCGGTCCTGACAGTGCGCTAGCAAACACGTCATCGTAGTCCGTCGACTCGTCGTCCGAATCCGCTTCGGTCGAAGGCTAAAGCACACCACAGCACATGACGACAACAACAGCATCACCAACAATACTCACAAACAACTGGCATATGCTCAGCACTAGCGAGCTCAGACCAACGTGCTCTTCGGAAATTTCGATAAAAAAAACTTTTTGAACTAATTGCAATTCCACCTCAAAATTCGCAAGCACTCCAGAAAGCTCGTTTTTTTTGCATGTGGGTGTTGGATTCACTAATTTATTCTACAAAGTGTGAAACAAACTGGGAATTTCTTAAATGACAATAATCACCTGTGTGGCAGATACCGTTGAAGTGGGGATGGTTGGTTGACTTGGTACGAAAATCTTCATCGCAGCCTTCGTAATCAGCTTAGGTCGCGTCTGCTCTGTAGCCGTAGATGTTGCTTGCTGGGGTGGTTTTGACGTTGCTATTGAAGATTCAGTTTCTGTCTCGGGGAGAGGTTGTTGTACGACAGGTTCCTGAAATTAGTTGGTATAAAATAAACACCGAATGTTGCATAATGACTGATTACCTTATGATCCTCTTCCGGTTCTTGTTCCATTTTCACTACCTCTCCGGGAATACTCTCCTCCATCGGGACCTCTTCTTGTTTCTCATCCAATATCTCTTCTTTGATAGAGATCTCTTCAACTTTCTCACTTACAACAGAGCATTGGCTTTGATCTTCTTCCACCTTGATTGCCACACTCTGGGTATCCATTTCGGAAGCACTCGACTCATCCGACGGCCGACCTTTCTTAGTCCGCTTAGCAGGTTTCGATTCTAAAATGCCTACCTTATAAGTTCACCAAGACATTGCTTCACCTACTGAACTCACCTTGATTGTCACCTTTACGTTTCGGCAACTCCTTTCTGTCCTTCTTTTTCAACTCCACTTCCGCTCGCTGTTTCTCTTTCCGTTCTTTATCGTTTTTCCGCGCCTTCTCTGCTTTATCGGGACCAAAGATGGATTCGAAATCTAATTTGTCAGACTTTGAGAGCTTCTTTCTTGGAGCTTCATTCTCATCAGAAGAGTCCTGAACGAATTCACTTATGCCCACTTCCATTAAATAGTTTTTAAGTAAACCTTTTAGTGCACACCTTCCTAATCTTCTTTCGCTTCTTCTCCTTCTCTTCGATTGACTTCTCGTTGTCTGTGCTGTCTGCGCCAAAAACATCTTCCATGTTAATGTTTTTATTCTGAAAAGGCCAGAACTATTACCAGTGTCAAACACAGCAAAGCGTCATGAGCTCTCCAAAAACATACGTGTTTGTGTTTTTCCAAAGTTTTCTTCGTTGGTCTTCTGTGCTGTTTGCGGTCTCCACCATCAGATTCTCCCGATTCATCAGTAGAATAATCACGTTTCTTTTTTACCTCCTCAAAAAGGAATATAATACCCAGAAGTAAGGGCTGAGTAGCTTTCCAAAACAAGCCGTCATGATTAACGTAAAAATAAAGAAAATTACCTCATCCTCGCTACTATTTCCGTTGAGGCTCTTCCCGACTCGTACGGTCTCCTCGTCCTCTTCAGACGACTCGTCTGGTTCGGACTCGGCTGGTTTCCGTGCTGGTCTGAGGCCTTCATCTTCTTCATCGGAAGAGTCTAGTTGTATACGATGGCGCTGTAGGAGAAGATTTAGTGCGAGACCAAAGCAAGGGAAAACTGTGGGTAAGCTTACCTTCTGATTCTTTCGCTCGTTGTTCTTGTCCCGCAAACGTTGAAGAGCAGCTGTCTTCTTGGTACCGTCGTCCTTATTCGCTGCAGAACTTCTTCGTTTTACACGATCGTACATCGATAGTCCTCCACTGGCCCCAGCGCAACTTGAGCCACTGTCTTCAGCGACAAGATGAGCCAGTTGCTTACTGAACGCCTTCTGAAAAAACTGCCATTTCGTAAGATTTGAACCGACTAAACTGAAATAGAAACAACATACCTGATAGTCGCTGTCGTCGCTAGAACTTCCGTCGTCCGATGAACTCTGCCTCGATTTCTTCTTCTGCTTCTTGGATTTCTTTTCCCGTTGCCGCTCTTTCTCAGCTTTTTTCGTTTTCTTATCCTTCTTCTCCCGGTCGTCATCTCTAGCACGTTTACGCTCTTCCTTGGTCTGAAAATCCCTCTGACAGGTACACAGGCAGACATTCGAATAATTCATCCTACCACGCGATCCCATGATTTGCATGAAACAAATTCTACCGACAAACCTTCTTTTCCCTCTTCTGATCTTTCGTCTTCTCGCGATCTTTCTTCGTCCTTTCAGCTTCTTTTCGTTTCGCACGTTCTTCCTTCGTCTCGAATGTTCCATCGTCTTTGCGACGCTGAAAGGATACATATTCCCTTCAACAGCTCTCCCTCCTTCAAAGGAACATCACACCAAAATTTCCTCTGAAATAACCGACCATTTTATGCTCTTTCTCCTTCTTATGATGATCCGTGTTTCCAGAATGTTTTTTTGACTGCTCATGACTGTGGTGTTCTCTTTCAGGATGTACTGTCACAGCAGAAGGCTTCTTCTCGATCTTTGGGAGTTTCCGGAAATCCGTAGTTGGGGGCTTATTATGGAACAGCTCAGCGAGTAGTTCAGTTGACGGATCCTGAATGGTGGATATTATTTCCCGTTACTCAAATACTGCCAATAAATCGAGTAAAAACAATGATGTAGCTTTACCTTGTGTGCAACCGCTCCTGTTCCTGATTTGCGTGCATCTGAAACGGATAACGACCTTCCAGTTGATGATGGAGCAGAACCAGGCACAGGAGATTTCAGCGCAGACATTGAATCATGTCGTTGAGGGGTATTGTGCTAAAGAAAGCGAATTCTGAACTTTATATCATGAATCACTCTTCAAAAAAGCATGACCACAAAATTCACGATTTTTACAATGCTTCAACTACAGAACAAAAGCTCACTCTATCGATTGGCCGCTGGGACTGAGCCAGCGGAATCTTGCTACCAAACGGTTTCGGTGTCCCTTGCGTCGAATGTGGTGCTCCGTGATGTGACTGGGCTTGCGCCGGAGGATGAGATGATGTAGGATGAGACGAGCTTGGTAAACCATGTGTTGTGTGATGTGGAGTGGTAACCGAAGTGGTATGGGGCTGTACGGAAGCACTATACGTACGCACATTTGTTGTAGCAACGGATATACTAGGTTTAAAAGAAGAACAGCCGTCAGAAGCTGTTGTAGGACTTCTCAAGGAGGAAGCTTCTCGATTCAGTGACGACTCCTACAACAAAGCGGTGTATGAAGATCAATGAAAGTTAACAACGATATGAATTTTACCTGTGTTGTAGGTGGGAGTTGAGGAGGTGGCGGTGGCGCAGAAAGGATTGGAGAAGTTTGCGATTCGGAGGTTGAAGCTGGTGTATAGATTGATGATGGAGTTGCGGAGAAATTCGGAGGTGGCACTGAGAAGTTAGGAGGATAAGCTATGAGCGGAGCTGTCGGTGGTGCTGCGAGGCGAACTGGGGGAGTCGACGAGGATGTTGCGTGTGCTGAAGCAGGTGGTCGAGATGTTGACGCGCCAGAGCATGGAGCTCCAGATTTCCGAGAAGACTGAATAAAGACCGTTAAAAGTACATACCAAAAAAGAGAACGAAAAAAGACATACCAGGGGAGAATCAATACGTGATGACGCTGGAGTTGTGGCCGCGCTCTGTGAAGCACTCCCAGGTTGAGGAATTGTAATGGATAGAGCTGGCCGCTGTGCTCCTGTACTCCGACTGAATCCGCTCGCCGATAAACTGCTTCCCGTCGAAATAACCGGAAATGGAGCAACACTTAATGGGTCAGGTGCAGAAGCCTGCAAAGTGCTAATAAGCAATACGTCTCCCTATAACTAAATAGAAACTGAAAGTATCTCACCTTTGCGGCAAGAATCCGTTCCTGAGTGATATTCAGAGTGAAATCGTCAAACGATGATTTCTTCTTCTGATTAATACTCCGCAATCGCTCTTCAAACGAGTCCGTACGAGGTGTGGTTAAGGGAGCGCCTGATGGTCTATGACGCGATGACGTTGGAGTTGTTTCCGTCACTAGCGATGTGGAAGGAAGACGATGATGCTGATCATCTAGTTCGGCAACTCCTCGATGGGCTTCTTCTAGTGAAGCGTTCACATCAGTGAGGCGGGAACCAATCTCAGCAAGACGCTAAACATGAATAATTGAACTGCTTCAGAGGAACGACCAGTTTTATTGATCGATGAGAAAGGCTCCAAATACTGAACCCTCGTGAGTGTATTCAAAGAGGGAGAGAGACTCTAAGGTTACGACTGATACTGCTGGATCAAGTATACTAATATTTGAACACCCTTTTACTAGCACTGTATTCTAATCTATATTAATAAGTTTTGGAAAAAACCGTGTGATGGAAACGAGCAACACATCAGCTACTCAATTCTGCCCACATTCAATCTTCACCTACTTTCATGAATCTAAAACGATGTACTAACCCCACTCCATCCGTCGGCTAGGATGGGCACATCATCAGGTTCACAAAGGAGATCTAGCGCAGAGGGAGGTGGTGGCGGAAGCGGAGCTGCATCTGGAGAGAGCTGAGCGTCGCTGTCCATGCCTCCACTTCCGCCACTGCTGCTTGGACTACGAGAGACCGTAGCATGAGCCGCTGCAGCGTGCGTCGAAATAGGTGTATGCAAGTGAGAAGCGCGCTCTGGAAAAAATGTTCTTTGGAATGGCTCCTTATCAAATATTCAACTAATGAACTAACCTTCTGTCAAAGAGCTCACAACAGGACGGCTGCTGGACATAATCCCGGAACCGCCACTAGCTCTGCGTTGGGAAACTGTATATCCCCCTTCGGTGCTAGCAGCACTTCCAGATGACCGTTTTCGCCATTCACCAGTAACTGACCGAGGATGACGATCCGAACTGGCAAAAGGTGGAAGAGGCAAGTGCGATGAAACCACTCGCGAAGACTCGTTGCGGGAAAGCCGCGGATCAGGCAAAACCGAGCTTGCCTAAAATATACGTGTATGTTTAAAGCCAACGCTGAAAGTCTCAAACGACGATAAACCATGCTAGGTACTCACGAAATCTGGGAAGACGCAAGGATTCCGGAGCAGATCATTCCAAGGCCACTTTCCCGTTCGCGTCCTATGCGATGGTTGTGAAGTGGAATGCGGACGAGTATGGGAACTCTGTCCATCTACCGAGTGACGCTTTTGAGAATGGGTGGAACTATTATAGTTCGATGGTGTGCCTGTCGAAGGACCTGGCCCAGATGACAACGATTGATGACGATGTTGTGCAGAAATCGACTATAAAAAGATATAATGCTTAGAAAACCATACTATGAAGAAGCAATTCGAAAGCATACCTGTGGCTCTTGACCGAAATGATGCGATTGGTGCCGGCTAGAAAAGGAATCATGTCGCGAAGTGGACGGAGGCGAAACGAAATGCGGAGTGCTGTGTTGTGAGTGTGGATTCGAACGTGGAGACGGTTTTCGCCTAACTGGAGGATCAGCTGGAGGAGGAGAAGGTATCTGAGGTAATGTCTCCATTGGTGGCGGCGCCGGTGGAGGATCCAATGGTGGTCGCGAAACATCATCGTAGAACCTGCATAACCTTTCAAGACAAAATTAGGATTTCCAGCGAACGAAGAAAAGTGCGAAATTGTTGAAGATGATTAATTGATTTCAATGTACTCACCCACTGTCTCCACTTTTGCGATCGTCCGGAGTGGGTGTAATCGTTCCAATCGCTGCACTGATGTTTGATGACTGCATTGTTTGGGGCAGCCTTTCTTCCGCAGCAGGGGAATGCCGGATCACCTTGCGATCCGTCCATTTTGAAACTTCAAATGGGCTGCGCCGCGATGAAGATGTGTTTCGTGGCTTGCCTAAAAACAAATGTGTTCCGTTTTACAAGAACAAAGCAAGTTTTTATCGGACGGCAAAAATGCAGGGATTTAAAAACGGCACATTTCACCATCACATTCAAATGATTATCCTAGTCTAGTAAAAGAGGGAGTACAAAAGTTCGCGCAGCATTACTTGCTTGAAGTAAGAAAAAAAAAAAAAGCTCACGAATGGGAGCCTGTCCCTTATGACTGACAAAATAAGTGAAGAAATACTAAGAGTTTCATCCTTTGTTTTATAAATTACAATAAGCGGCTCAAACAATTTGGCTGAACTCTATCTCTCTTTCTTCGAAGGAATCGTATATCTCACACTCTGATAGGGTTTCCATCACTTGGAATAATGATAATGGTGTGAAAAGCTCACCGTTCACGTTCCGATCACAGCGGATTTCACGTCTCTCTTCACGTCGTCGATCTTTGTTCCGTTGACTGTATGATAACGGACTCGACGCACGGCTATCGTTGGAAGCTGATCGTAGTCGCGTCAAAGACGAGTCTCCACTTGATGATATTGATGAATCCGACGACGCACTAAAAAAATCACTCAGCAACTGCGGACCGCCACTAGTTTTTAGCGAGGAAAGTATACCATGGGTTGAGAATGCTGACTAACCAAAAAGCCAATTATGAAAATCTTGCAGATAACAGCTGAAGCCTTACCTTTGTTTCCGTTCCTTCCTGTCCTTCTTTCGAGATGATCCCTTGTCGTAGTCATACTTTGATGACTTTCTGTGCCGTGATCGCTCTTGTGATCGCTCCCGAGAACGCTCCCGACGTCTTGAATGTGCTGGTGACCGACGTTGATCGCGATGGTGTTCATATCGATAACTACAACAAAACCCGTACAGAATCAATAAAAGACTTGACGTCATCCATCTCCACCAATAGCTCAGCCTAGGCGGATCAACTTAAGGTTTTTTTGGAGGATTCACCACTCATTGCAATTATTACTCCCTGTTTATGACTCTCTTAGTGGAAGTTTCAGAACTTCTGAACTAACTGCTCCGCGTATGGAAAATGACATGAATCATATCATGTTATAGGTGTATGGAATGAAGCACGGCATTTTTTGAAGGGAACGAATCGAGCACTAGAGCTGATGACTTCGTAATAAGACAGGCTGGGACCAGGTTCTTCCACAGCGTCACGCGGACAATGACCCTGTCCACACCAGAAGACCCACCTGAACCGAATCCTGCCCCCCTCCCCTTCCCCTATAACCGACTTTCAAAATCCTTCTCGGTAATGGATTCACCACCTCCCCCAGAAAGAAGCATCATACATCTTCATGAGCAAGAATTCCTCTCGTTCACTATACTTTTCAACCCTTCTGCGAACGACAGGTCTGTATATATAGACTTATGTGTGAAACACAATGCCTTCAGAAAAAGTAACTCAATTGTTTGCGCAATCAAATAGCGCCTTCCGTCGCCTCGGTTACAAATGACAAAGGGCACTGAGAACAACTGGAACTAGTAACCGAACAACGCTACAGTTTCCTCTATTTTGCTCAGAACTGCGCACCACCGTTTAAGAACACTTAGACACTACCACCGCTTCATATTGATTGGTTAAAACTCTTAGAGGAGTAAGGAATTGCGTAGAGTCGAGAATTTCAAAAAACAAATGTAGACTAGGCAAATATCCTAACAATCACCTGACTTTTTTATAGATAGGTTTGTTCTTGTCAGTTTAGCCTTGCCGAAGTGAGAACAAGCAAACCAAAAATTCAGGAAAAATAAAACAGCGCAACAGAAATAATGCTCACCTGGGCATATCACTTGGAGGATCAGGTGGAGGCGCTAAAAGTGCAGTCAACGAGTCTTCGTCAGCTACAGATGACGGGGCAATCGGAATACACCCACTACCAACGACAGGAGTAGTAGGCAAAGACACGGTAGTCTTCACGGGGATACCCCCGTGTTTCCGATCGATAAAGTGGTCGTGGAGTCGGTCAGAGCAAAAATCCGCTGGCACACGAGCTTCGCCACTTTCCACTTTGAACACGCTGAAAGCATAAAAAACGATAATTCGCATTACAATAGAAAAACTAGGAAAAGCTGCTCCTCAGATGATCAGAGAAAGAATCGATGGAGTAGGAATTAATATTGAAAGTCACGCTGAATCCTATTTTTTAAATATGAAGATTATGAATGGGTATGAAGTAGATAGATACTGCGACGAAATCAAGATAAACCATTCTCCAACGTGAAACGAAATCGGTACATGGCATATTGTCCGCTACAAAATCTAGCAGCGCATTTACGCAGCATCGCCGCCAAAAGGAAGAAATTCAAGTAAATTATACCACTTTACAACCGCAAGCACTGAATAGTCGGAACTAGGAATTTCTAACGTTGTGGTAATGATATAAAAGTAGTTTACTAAGTGCATAGCCAAGGGTAATAATCTACATCATGATATGCCATACAAATAAGGCTAAATCTTACTTGTATCGAGCTGAGCCAGCTATCAATTGAGATTTTATCATAAAAAACAACAACGACCCTGTCTTTCTTAGGAGACAATCCAACAATGCCTACTTGTAGATCAATACGCATGTGAAGCCTCAGAAAAGCTTGCTGAATGCATTAGTTTCACGCTAAACCGAATAACTAAGTGCACGAACAACATGCTAAATCATGTCCGTGCGTATTGGTGATGATCGCTGGCGGCGTGAAAACAATACACCGAGGCTCATATTAGCTCTATAATAAGAAAGAAAATGATGTGTCCGATTACATGGTCACTACTGCAACATTGAGACGAAGATATTTCTACGTAATCACTGAATAAAGCAATACCTTTGGGAGATAAAATGGTTACTAATCAGAGTGTGATGGGGCGGTCCTATATTGGACGCATGCCAAAGGAGTGCCATGGGGGAGAGGAAAATGCACGCGCCACCCATATCGACCCGCCTATAGCAATGCCTCAGGCAACGAAACTCATTCCCCGGTGCTGCTTGTTTCGTAACGCCGTTTCTAGCTTCTCTTGCTGCTTACTTGCCCACCTTACTCGTCCACATGTTTTACAAGCGCAACCATACACAAAACGTTTCACAGATGTTCCTTTAAATTAGAAAAGACTCGAGCAGTCATGAATTAGCATTAGAAGCCACTTCTGATTGAAGTATCAATTGGCCGCTTAAGATTCCGCTTCAGGCTCGGCATCGCTGAGCTTAGCTATATAGGCTGCTGGCGTATTTAATAAATCTGTTTACGGATCCTGATGAAATAAGCTAGCTCAATGTTTATGAACAGTGAGGATCGATAAAAAGCGAGCCTTGCAGAAAAGACTGCCAAAAGTAAGCGAATTTTCATTGAAGAAATAGAGAATGAAAGCACGTCGAGAAAGCGCACTTCTAGGAATATAAGAACAAATTTGGGATTTTTGCTGAGGAAGCATTAATTATAGAAGTCTGTATTATTGATCACTTACAACTGCTTAGGAACGCCAGCTTTAATACGGTTCAAAGCTGCTTGTGCGCCATCCGTAGACGAGAATACTACTATGGCTTGTCGAACCCTCATGTCCACGACAACATCAACTACCCCTAAAAATGTCACTTAATAAAAATTCGAAAATACAAACAAACGATACCATCACCTTCAGATAGAGATCGAAGCTTCTGTATGACATACTCTTCGGCAATCTGAGGAGGTATCGAACCAATCCACAACTTATTCGTAGTCATGGATCTTCCGAAGTTAGGTTGAAACTTCTAAATACCGAATATGCGAGATGTGAGCAGTAGGAAAATCTTATTTGAGGAACTCTGATAAATGCATTACTATTATACCTTTCCCTTTTTATTCGCCGGTTGTGCAGTATTCGAATGTGTGTTAATAGCACGCACAGCCGAATCTATATCAGCGAATTGAATGAATGCAAATGGTGACGGCGACTCGTAGTTCTTCACGTCCACGTCCAAAATTGTGCCATATTTCCCGAATCGCCGACGTAAAGTCTCGTCTGATATACGACTTTCTAAGCCGCCGACATACAATGTCCGAGAGGCCTGAACACTCAGTTAAGTTTAAAAAATGGAATGGATACAGCAAAACCGATAAAAGCACTACCTTTGGATGGAAGACGTCGACTTCATTTCTGTTTCCGTTAGGAGAAGCGTATCTCGCAGGGAGATCCGCATCCGGTCCTATGGTGGCACCACTACCTGCAGGACTGTTCAGTGATAGGTAGTCGTTATAAGCTTCCTGAAAATGAACTCAAATTCCCCTTTAAGATTAAACAACGTACATATGTAATATAATTCACAACGAATCCAAGAAAAAAGACTGGAAAGCATTTCATGAAATCGCGCTTTCGCAATAAACTTGCACTTTTCAATGGCGACACTAACTGGTATTAGTGAAGACCTCCGCGAATGTACTTTGCAGTATGCAAAAAATAGTTGACGAACTGTGGCGCACTGAATTGGAATAATCATTTAACAGAGGTCGTTATCCATCTCTGTCACTCATTTGAACGAATTGTTTCATTGCATTCCCTTAATTCAATCGGGTAACTTTACCAGCCAACTACATCCCCTTTATATCAATGTTAATACCTAATTTCGTCAGTACCGCTGCTAGACTATCGATTACAAGCAAAGCAGCTAACCATCTCTAGTCGGAATTTTCTATTTGAAACTCATGAAGAACTTTCCTGAAATTTTTCCTTTTCCACCCTCTCCACTCTGAGCACCCTTCTCATCTTGTAATTCCGCTTGAGGAGAAATCACGCAAATTATCAGGTCCGAATAAGTGATTTTAGCTGACTAAGCTGGTAATGTAATCATTACGGTTATCAAGTGCACGGCGTCAAGTACATGTGAGTAGGAAGCTGTGAAAACAGATTTCATAAGTGCAAGCAAGTACGCAATTTTACACATTGACGGCAATTGACATTTCCTAGAAGTTATTATGATAATGAAGTGAACAGGAACCTAACAAGTGCACTCAGTAGCAATCTAATAATGACAGTGGTGGAAGATCCCTGTGTTTTTCAACGCTAGCTAGAAGCACGCCTCTTGCCTACGAGGTAAACACATTTCTACATTCCAGAGAAACCAGAGCAAGCCAATTAAATAGAATTTCGCAATAAGCATAAAAAGTGACCTGAACGACGACGTGATTGGCTGCTCGAATGCGAACACGCATAGATAAGATGGAAATGTGAGAGTCATTCACTAATTTCTCCATGTCAATGACACTGTAAAGTGCATAGATTAGGCAATTGGAGAGAACATTACCACAGAAAGAAACAGAAAAAATACCGTTGAAAAATAACGAGTGCCTTTCTAGCATCTCCATCTCCTTCAATTGAGATGTCCACGATTCGACCGTGTTTTTTCAGTGCATCTCTTATGGCTTCCTTAACTGTTCCGTCACTTCTAGGTGGAAGGCGCTCCACGTAAACTCCCTGTAGAAGATATTAGCCATGAATTAAATAAGTCCATAAGAACAAGAGCTTGTACGTACCTGTAAGCCTCCAGAAGAATGCGCTGAAGCACAAACGGAACCGGAACCAATAGATGAACCGGAGATTCCACCACAAAGGTTCGCGGCATCAGGTGAGCGGCTAAAATCACGCAATACATGAAATGAATGTATTGAAAGCTCGCTTGGAATCTGCAGAATGCTTGCCGCAATGAATATTCACGGAAACGAAATCCGGTTTAAAAAAAAAAGATAAATATTATATACAACAAAGGGCATACATGATAGGCATGTTGCCACCAAGAGACGGGGAGAAAGAGGATGATCAGCATCAAAAGGAAGACGAATTGGATTAGTCATCAATCAGCAACTATCAAAGGCTTTCATAGAATCCTTTAGAATCCCTCTCATAGAACATTGGCCTATAAAATCTAAAAGGCCTCGTGCAGATTTGCTAATCACGGCCACTTTGTTCAACGTGCACGTGTCCAACGTCCCCAAAGGGAGCGCACATTGTATCGTAAACTCCGTCGTTCAAAAAGACGGTGACGAATGGCTGCTTCACGTGCTAGCCCCCATCAAATAAGATAAATGTCAGTCTAATCAGCTGCTGACAAGTTTTCGAATATTCTACTTCGCCGAAACGACGCTTCACAAAAAAGATTGCATTTGTTGAGTTTAAACTGCAACCTACAGAAAAGACGCCATGAGAAGATGAGAAGAGATCTGTAGTTTCCGAAAAAATTAGCATTTCAGAGTAATCTGATTACTTTTTGTGACAGTAATCACTCAGAACAAGAACGAAAACGCACGGTATATCCTTGGGCTCGCTGTCAAACAAAATAATGGAACTATGGGGAAATATGGTTCTCCTGCTGTTGTTAATTGCGATTGCAAAAGAAATATTTCAGCTCTTTTACCGAATGACTGAAAAGAGACTAGAGAAAGGATAAGAGCTTCATCAAAACAGTGTTTATTTCTTGCAAGTAATAGACTAGAATGAGTTTCAGAAAAAAATATTACTTTCCATGTATTAGTTACCTACAAAACATTCATTCGAGCCTTCTGGTAAGTCCTTAGGTCCCTTTTCAATAACAAGATCAACATATGCATGATCAAATACGACTGATGAACATAAAACAACTTCGCCTTTTGACCCTGTTGAGACAGCCCAATGCTTACGAATGCAACGGTAGCTCGCAACACCTTATCGCAGAAATCACTCATAAACAGTATAAAAATGAATGACAGACTCTCTAACACCTACACTCATGCCATCAATCGCCCGTATTCTGCAAGAAAAAAAAAACAAGCAAGTTGCAATTTTGATATCTAAAATAGTTACATCACATGTTTCAAGGAACTTGATCGCATGGAGCGAAAACCTCAGAACAATTGAAAAACTAGTTCCCATGGAACTGATGTAGCCGCTTTCAAACTTGAAGCAAAGTACGAAGAACGTGATATGATGGGCAAAACAAGCAAACAGGATACACAACAATAAAATAGGTCAACAGCAAGACTGTTTGTGTGCTGAACGGCTGGCAATTTTATGTCATCACAAGGATGTAATCGATAAATAGCAGGCCTAGTAGTCCAAGTTTTTGCTGACCTACATCTCATATTGGTGAGAGATTGAAAATACAATGCCTAACTCGTTCCCTTGAAAAATTAAGCAATTTCGTCTCATGATAAATGCTAAATTTTTCATGGAAACGAATGTGTGTTCACTGATTGAGTGAATACGCCGCACTAAATACTTGACTGACTTTATTACTATGTATTTGTTATTCCTGTCTGTTCCACTTAAGAAGGTGGCATCCTCCAGCATATTTTTCGATTCCACTATTTTTTGGCTCGCTACAATGCATACACAGATGCAAAGCGACTTTCGATCGATGGATCCGCTCAACCGAACAGAAAGCATTTCCAGTGCACTTCACTCCGATGAGTCATAATCGTTCCGACGCAAAACCAACCTACCTGATTCTCACGTATCCAACCTTTAGTCTACTTTTTGAACGAGCGCCCATTGTGTATAGTCCCGCAGAAATGAAAACTTTTTCATTTCGAGGAAAGCACAGCCTTTCCCTCAGTCAGAAGTGAATAATAAAAAGCTCTTTTAAAAAGATTTCACGGTTAAACAAGATTTGCTTTCACTGCATAGAGGTTTGCATAGGGTTTTTTTAACGCATTCTTGCCCTGTTTTTTTAGAGAGCGGAGAAGGAAATTCAAAAAAAAGAATGAAAACATCATATCACGCAAAGCTCCTTTCAACTCAGTCAGAAAAAAAAACTGCTGATTACTGAGTACTGTGGAAACATTCAAAGCTAAAATCAAATTCTATTAATGACATGCGTCTTCAAGTTTCACTGAGACATCATTCAAACTATCCGAATAGCCGTCTGTTTCCATGAGTTGAAATCATTGGTTGAGTTGAATCATGAAGCCATATTCTCATGATTTCATAATACTCTTCAATAGAGATGAAGACCAATTTGTTTTTGTAGGTTTCTCAAACGACATTGATTGAACTCCCATTATATTGAAATTCGAAGTTAGTAGGTAATTGAACAATGCAACAACCTTTTCTTGTTCATATGTCTTCACAATTTGTTAACTACATCTAGCTTCGTTTAGAAAGAGCCTTGGCACGAGGGTAGTGAGTGAACTATTGGTGTAATTTAAACTCGAACACAGAGACGTTACACATCAAATGGACTTTTTTAAATTTGAATGAAACTGCAACCACTGCGCTGGCCATCTACTCCTTCTAATTCCGGTACTGTTGTCGAAAACCAACATTTTGACCAGCATTTCTCGAAAGCTTACGTGAATGACTTTAATTTGTATCCACAGTAGTTCCAAGTCGGAGACGCCTTTACGACTTCGAAAATAAGAATAAGAACAGCGAATAACTCTGCTCTTAACGAGATTCTCGGAACTCTGGCCACAAAACGCTTTAGTTCCACCATAGAACCGGTTACTTTTAATAAATATGATTAAAACACGCTCATTTTGAAGGTATAAATGACGTTTGATAATGAGCTCGAGAGAAACACGCAACGCTTAAGGAGTGGCAGAAAGTAATGTTTAGAAACACGTCACAGAAGTACTATATCCACAGTCACATACCCCTGGTCTCTTCGATGTCCCTCAGAACGCATCAATCGCTTCCCCGCGTTCGTCATCACTCGTTGCTGACTCGCTCTGAAGATAATCTCCGTTTGAACTGAACATCACATCTCGCAAAAACACTGCACTTCATTCTACGAATCGGCGGAGCTCACTGCCTACACTACACAAGCAAACG